ATTAACTACAAAGTGTTTACAGTCAACTTGAGGAGCTTTTCAAATTGTTAGAGTTTCTAAAAACTAGAAAAAAATTTTAAAATTGTGTTCATAAACTCATTTGATATGTTTTCAAAGATTGAAAGAAGTTACTCTTTTACCGAAAAAGTGTTTTTGAATTTCTAAATTTAATATTTATTATGCCAACTATTGGCATGAAAAGTGTTTAAATGTTTTTAAATCTTGTTAACACCTATAATTCTTAACTACAAAACCATATCGAAGAAGTTTTTAAAAGTTTTTTAAAAGTTTAAAGAATTAACTAGATTTGTTATAAAAAAAACAAAACAAAAAAGGTGCACAAGAAAAGGGCAATATTGGCACATACATATTCTCCATCCAAAAATGAGCTTTTAATAATATATTTAAAATAGGTTTAAAATATTTGAAAAATTGAAAATATGGGAGGCAAGTGATACTTTTTAAAGTTCAACAGTGCTAATTGATATTGTCACAAATCTCAAGGGAGGTTTCTGAAATTATACCTTTTAATGTAAAAGTTTATTATCACCACTATTACACAAATTCTTGCATGTCTTGTTGGACATTGGTCTCAAATTGTTTGTTGATTTTAGTCCCTAACTTTTGGTATTTTCAAAACAAATGGATGATACTAATATCTCTTCAACATATACTTTCAGTTATGAAACAAATCAGATTCAAAGATCAAGTGCAATTGAAATAAACAAAGGTTGCTGAAAGTTGTCGGACGCTTGTGAAGACAAGATCGGACGTCCGGTAATCATTTCGCAACTTCGGACGTCATGATATTCCCCCTAACTCACTGATCTCGATCGGACGCAAGCATTGGACGTCCGATAGAATTCTTCAAACTTTTTGTCTGCTATCGGACGGAAGTACCGGATATCCGATAGGATCCTTGAAATTCGACGAAAGCTGTCGGGCGCTCACAAAGACAATACCGGATGTCCGATAGAATTGAGATATTCCTTCTAACTCATTGTCTGCTTTCGGACGCAAGCACCGGACGTCCGATAGAATTAAAGAAGATTTTTCAAAGTCACTGCCTGCTATCGGACGCATGCTTCGGATGTACCGGACATCCGATACTCCCAACGGCTAGTTGATTCTGCAGCTACTTTCTATCTGTTGGAAGTATTAATGAAGCACTTTTTTTGGTCTTCTATAAATAGAGCATGGTCAGAAATTTCAAATAACTTTTGCACACTGAAAATACAAAAGATTTAGAATAGTTTTAGTGAAAAAATACTCACCAAAGAAGATTTGTAGTTTTGATGGTGTGAAGTTCATTGTAAACTTTTCATTTGCGAGTGAATACTTCAATAGTGTAACTCTGGGAGGGTTGTCCTGAGGGATAGTAAAACTTTCTAACTTGATTGAGTGAAACTTGGGGTAAGGAGGAAGTGAACCTTCCTTTGTACATAAGATTGGTTATATTTCACCAACTTGAAGAAGGTTGTTTTGTGAATTGAACTTCGAGCTCAAGAAGAGCTTGGTAGTCAATTGGTTTACAACTCTTCCCTTCTTATTTATTGATTATTATCTTGTGATTCTTAAATTGCATATCTCTTCTACTTCTCTCAAGTGATATTGTTCCTTCATTGATTAATTCATTGTATGATCACTTAGAAAAGAGGGTAAAATTCATATTAAACAAAAAAGTGCCCATAATCTGATTAGTTTCTTAATCAACCTAATTCACCCCCCTCTTAGGTTGTCTTTGATCCTTACATTGTTGTAGTTAGGGGTTGTAACAATAAAATGTAGCCAAGGTAAGTACCATTATGAAACAACTTTAGGAACTTTTGAATTTTTTTTGGTTTATTGTTGTCTTCCTACCTATTAAAAATTTAACATTTCAATACTAAAGTTTTAAAATTTATTTTTAATATTCCGTACCTTGATAATTAAGACTAATTCATATAATTTTACAAAATACTGACTTCATTTCAAATTCAATTTATAACCTAATGAATACAAAAATAAAAAGGATCAATGGAATATATTTTTATAGAATATATTCTTCATATTCTAAAGATATATTTAATTAAGTTTTTTAATTATCACTAAAAGTGAAAAATGATAGAACTTATAATTAGCTAATTATTTAATATTATACCAAATGTAAAACTAAATATGCAAAAGAAGGGAAGAATGTGACCAATTAGTTGCATAAATAAATGCAATAAAAATAAAAAAGAAAAAATGTTTAATTGGAATTCCTATTGCCCATTCAAGTAATTTAGTCTAATTTGCATCTCGCTTCATTCTAAAAATCTCAATATGACTATTTAAATTTTATGAGACTATAGTGACTCAAATTCCGAACATTAGGGATTGAAAGTGCAAAATCAAGGTTGTTGACTAACGTAATTAGACTTTAAGTGTTAGTCAATGTTGAATTTTCGCCATTGTCCTAAATATGCCTAATATCAAAAACTTTGGGGGACTAGAATTGTTTTGTCTAAAACATTGAGTATTAGATTGACACATAGACTAAATATTAAGGACTAAAACTACATTTTTTCCATTATTTTCCTGGTAGTTGACTCATTAGAGTTACTGCTACATGTGCAATGAGTCATGTCGAATCGATCTTTGACCCAATCAAATTGAGTTAAGTCTCAACTTAGTTTTATCAAACTCAAACTCGCATTCGACTCAAATTTGAGTTGAGTTCAAGGTTAAAAAATAAAAAAATAAAAAAATAAAAAAATAATTTTTTAACAAATATTAGGAATATATATGTAATTTTATTAATTAAATAATATATATATATATATATAATCAAGTTGGCTCACGAACCAACGAATTAAGTATCTTTGGCCTTGAGTTCGAGCTCAACTTGGTCGGCTCAAGTTCGACTCGAGCTTTGGCTTGAATTGCTCGCGAGGAGTTCGATTCGTTTGCAATCCTAATAATTACACATTAAACATACAATATTGTAAGTGTTTTTTTTACATCACGATTTAGCGTGTACTAATCCTAGTTAATAAAAACTCGTATTACACTCATATAATACATATTTATGTGTATAATTCAAAAAAATTGTCTTTCGAACCTTTTAAAAATACTCCAAAAAATAATTGTACTTTTCAACTAATCTTATAAAACACGTAATAAAGTTTTGACGTATTATACTACATGAACTATTTGAGTAAGGATAATGCCAACTTTCCAAATTATATACAAAATAAGAACGACATATATATATATATATATATATATATCTTGATTTTTATAGACACATACATACGACAATAATAAGGTGATAAAATCTTAATAAATTTAACGTCTCATATATAAAAAGAAGAGTTAAAATTGGTGTAAATGTAGCATAATTTCTAAACACTATGTTACTTTTACGTGTATCTTTAGTTCCATAACTTTCACATATACATGCACGATTCAAAGTATGAATTTAGAAATGTAATTTTGCTGAATTCGTATTTTTTGTGACAAACATTTAATTATACTTTTGGAAAAAAAATTCGTATAATATGCATATGTATAATGTCCCATATCATACCCGTCCTTTATTTTACTAACTATGGTATAACTTAGGTTAATGCACAGTTTTTTATTAGTCTTTGAACTTGGTAATTATAAATGATCCATGAAAAAGATAATAAAAGTATTCTTAACTTTTAATTATGATTTATTTTTGAAAATTAGTATATTTTGTTTTATCACGGATGAAGCTTCTGACTATAGCAATGTTAGTGATGATGTAACAATTAAAATTTACTGACTAAAGTCACTCCATATAAATGAAAAATAAATTATATTAAGATCTAATGGACTAGGCTCCTTTCCATTGCCTTGGAAAAGAATTTCTCTCCATTACTCCCTAATAAAATTAATTTAAAATTATATTAAAAAGAGCACCTTTTGCAATAAATTTCATCACATTTTTTAGTTATATATAAAATTTTGTGTGAAATTAACTGAGTTTTGCCCTCTAATTAATCATTACAAAATTTGTTATAATTTTAATTTATTTTTAACCGTTCAAATGTTTCATGTAAATTGAATGTCATTTGCAAAAGAATATCATTTCTTAAGTATGCTGATCTAAGATCAAAACAAAAGTAATGACACAATTAGATTAATTTATAGAGTTATAAAATTTTAGATATAAATAAATGGAGAAAATAATGGAAAGAAAACTAATGAAGGGGATCCTAACCCAGATCTAATGGGGCTGGGGCTCCAACTCAATTTAAATTTGTATTAGTGCTTTTGGCACGCCCTAGGCGTGTGCCAAGGGTGAATTATTGTAGGAAGTTATTGTATTTAAAATTGGATTAATCTTTCCTACACTAACACTGTCAGCGTTGGATGAATAATAACTATGCAAAATTTCAATTTGAAATTCAACTTTTGCACACATATCATGAATCAAACGATGACGTATATACTGTCAGTATATATAAAATTTACTCTTTAAAATTATGATAGAGAAAAATAGGGAATGTGAATAGTGTGAAAACTTACTTTAAAAGGTATTTTTGATATGATGTAAGGTGATACAAAAAGTTTGCACCAACATCCTTCTGTCCTTCTGTATATAGTAATATGAATATTATTTGAACTCAAAATTTTGATTTGAGTTTTGACAGTTTTAAAGTTCGACTCGATTACTTTCCAATCCTACTTCTCTTCTTCTCTTTCTTGCAACGCCTTCTCTATCTAATTCTCCCCAAACCTGCCTCTCCTTCTCATCAAATAGCCTCGAAGTAGATTGTTCTGGAAGAATTTCCTCCAAGTTACGGTTTCGATTTGTTACTTGTTAGATGGAAACTTGAGAGTTAAATAAGGAATCTCAGGATTAGCTGATTAATGTTTAAATTTGTTGATTTGAATCTTAAGGCAACTTTATTCTGTCAAAGGTTTTTACAAAGTAACTCAAAACTGTCGCATAAAATCAGTAATAAATGGCAAAGGGGAAAAGTCCCGTTTTCTTACCAATGTCCGTCCATCATTTTGCCATCATGGTTTATATAAACACTTTCCATATAAATGTCTTACATCCTGTACTGTCGTCTCCTTTCTACCAAACCATTGAGCAGGATAGACATGGCAGGCAACTTCATATATTACTTCCTCCTCTGTTATAAACATAGGATTTTGCAAAATATAGGTAAGCAGTTAATGCAATAGCACTAAGTCCGGCAAGGAGCCAGTAAAAGTAATCCAGGTGTCCTTTGTTCAAGTTGTCCGAGAACCAACTCTGATGTCCATGCCTGCTTGTGGCTTTGTCAATTACAGAAATGAGAAAGCTGCTCAGAAAGCTTCCTATCCCTAAGATACTGAGGTATAGAGCCAGACCTGTACTTTTCAATTGATTAGGCACTTGATCATAGAAAAATTCTTGCAAACCAACCATGGTAAGCGATTCAGATACTCCCAGAATTAAGTATTGAGGTATCATCCAGATCACACTCATAGGAATTGTAGCCTCTGGTTTATCAACCAACCCGTACTCTTGAGCAGTTTCAAGACGCTTCATCTCAACCGCAGCAGCTATACACATAGAAACAGTTGACAGAAGTATTCCAATTCCAATTCGCTGCAGCATTGTTATACCTGAAGGTCTTGAGGTTATAGCCCTTGCGATGGGGACTAAGATTCGGTCGTATATAGGTATAAAGACAACTATCGAAAGAGTGATAAAAGACTGCAGCGATGCAGCTGGTAGTTCAAAGCTTCGACTAATAGATCTGTCCATTGTAGCACCTTGCTTTGTAAACACAGTGGATGATTGCGCAAATACAATTCCATAGACCAAACATGTGGTCCATATCGGAAATAACCTCAGAACTGCCTTTGCCTCTTCAACCTCCCTGATACTACAACCGTTGCCACCTTCCTTTGAACCCTCAGGTGCTACCAATGCTTTGTTCAGAAACCTATGACAATTTAACAAAAAACAACCAAAATGTTTAAAGGAAGAGATGTTGATTTCAGGGTACTGATGGTGAAGATCAGACTGTAGAAGTCTTAATTTAACCACATTCTAAACAAGATACTCGTGATGAGGCATGATTTCTCAAGATTCAACCTTGAAGTGAAAACACCAATTACATTCAAATAAGTCCCTTAATTTGTTAAGTGGAAACTGACTTACTCATGCTATATTTACCAATCCATTCAAGCCAGAAGCCAATAATGAAACCTTTAAGTCATATGGAATAAGTCATCAGAAGTCATTAACACCCTACTTACAAGGACCTAAAGATCAAGCAACTTTAGAGCATGCTAATGAAGGAAAGAAAATGTCTCGGTAACTAAGAGTTTAGAACAAGATTGTTTCTCACTTGAACTCTTGTGAACCTTGGCAAGGCAGAAAGCCCTGAGACTCCCCTTCCATGGATAATGATAAAGAGGTGATTCTCCAATTCCTAGCTGCTTTCAGAAATACCCGCCCAATTCTCACAAAAGGGCTTATCTCCTCACTAGTGACGCAAAATCGGTAGGTAAAAGTCCCAAGCAAGAACAAGATGAGTGCAAAAACCATTACAAGGCAGGGAATTCCAAATCCAAGGCCCCAACTAAGGTTATCTTGAATATAGGTCAAAACCACTAATGTGACTGTTATAGCCCCACACATACCGAAATACCACCAGTTGAAAAATGAGCTTTTGGCTTTGCACTCTTCAGGATCTTGTCCATCGAATTGGTCAGCTCCAAAAGCTTGTACACAAGGCTTATGCCCTCCTTCAGCTACTGCTATGATGTACAATGCAAAAAAGAAGAAGATAATTTGGAACTCAGAAGGAGAACAATTCATAGCATTTGTTGCATGTTGACAGTCAGATGACTTCGAAGAGGTAAAAACTGTTGAAAGGGTCAAGAAGCCAAGTCCCTGTGATTCAAAGTAGTGCAAGGCTCAACAAATTGTTGCAAAAATTCTGGATGTATCCATGAAGAAATCCCTAACTACTCTGTTCTTCCTATTTTTACTCCCGGAATGGAAACATCAAGTAACTAGGCCTCAAACATGTGGAACATAAGCAGTCAAACTATCAAATTTGGAGCATAATTTGACCGAAAAGAAACTAGAGTTTCAACTAGCAACAACAAAGAGAACTGTGGACAAGGCTTAAGTGATGCTGTATATTCAATTTTAAAAAAATACATCTACAAAACGATATCTTTATCTTTGTAGCTTGCACATGAATCCTGCTTCTTAGAACGAAGAGTCACTGTTTTGGTATCACTATTAACTAACTTCCCTCTGAATCACCAAAATCAAGCTTAGGCAGACATACATCCACCTTAGATTATGTTGTACGAGCATTGTTTTGCAAATGGCTTTTTAACATAATTAAAGGCACTGTATTTAAGTCCTAAAACATGTCAACGTAGCTAAGATTGCCAAGAAGTGATTTTTAGCATTCTTTGACTTTTCTGCAGAAGAGTTTTTAAATTTTCATTGGCTATAGCAGGTGCAGGTTTTCCAGTAATGAGCATATAAAGGCAAAAAGGTTTTATGGATACACGGGGGTATATTTATCAGTTAGTGCAGAAGAAAAAGATAGTAAATGCCGATATGCAATTGGGGAGTGCCTTTAAAATTTCAAAAAACAAGAAGTTAGAGTTTATATTCCAATACCTCCATATATAAAAGTTCACCAATATTACCAATTTATTTTGATGTTTCAATTTGCCATATTTTGCTTATAGAGCAAAACTAGACAAATAGCAACAGAAAAAAAAAAGAAAAAAATTAAAGAAAAGCAACAAGTACAGAAGGCCTTTTATGAGGGTCCTTTGAAATCACAATATAAACCACACTTTTTTTTGAATCTTTTAAGGGCAAACTTTTTACAGTAACATTAAGGCTATATTATCCGCCGAGATTGCAGACAACCAAATCAAGCTCTTCACCAGTGTAAGAGTTGTAAAAGTAAGATTGGTTCTTGGTGAATTGTTAATTGAGCCAAGGTTGAACAAGATTGGTTTACACCCCTTCCCCCTCTCCCAACACCCGCTGTCCACCATCGTTACCCATCTCCTCTACTGATGCCTTATTTATTTATTTATGTTTTTCTGACACTTGTAGATGTTTTAAAGTGTTAGTGTAGATGGTATAGTAAGTTTTTTCCTAAAATAAATTGGATTAATCTTTCCTACACTAACAGTGTATATACCGTCAGTATTAAATAAATGACAATTATGCAAAATTTAAATTTAAAATCCAACTTTCGTACATATGTCAAAAATCCAATATATATAAGATTTACTCAAATAAATTTGCACTCTGCCTTAGTCAAAGACAGAGTTCATTTTGGATAGGGTAAAAATTTATTTGGATGGTAAACATGTGCTGTGACATTATTATGGCCTTATTTTGAAATGGATAAATTTGTGAGTTAAAAATTTACTTTGACACCTCACTGTATATAAAACAGGAAAGAGGAATTTGGTGTAAATAAATTATGTCAGTGCTTTACCTAATCTACCCTTATTTCTATAGACAATAACATCATTTCAACTGTCTCGCCCCTACAACCACCCCACTTCCTATTGAATTAATTAACTATTACTTCTCTTAAAAAAACTACAACTTCACTATAGACAATAACATCATTTCAACTGTCTCGCCCCTACAACCACCCCACATCATTTGTTGTGTTTCTACAATTCAGTTGTGTTAGTGTTTACTTTTATTGTTCTAGTATCTATATTTATTATACTAATGTCTACACTGCACGATACCGTCGAGACAAATAAGTGTTGTGGTGGAGTTATCACAGCCTTGGGTAACTAGGGATGAGGGGCCTCTATAATTACCAGTCGCAATGGCACCGTACAGTGTAGACTCTAGTAGGGCTGCAAACGAATCGAGTGTTGTCCTAATCGAATCACGTCTCGATTTAGTTTTCTCAAATTCCAACTTGAACTCGAGCTCGACAAGGTCTCAATGTAACAGCTCAAGCTCGAGCTTAAAAAAATTTATTTTATTTTATAAAAAATAAATAAAATAATAATTTTCTTAATAAATAATAAAATATTAGAAATCTATATGTACTTTTACTATTAAAATAAAAATTCAAAAATATATATATAATTGAGTCGACTTGCGAGCTAATGAGTTGAGTATCTTTGAGATCGAGTTTGACTTATTCAGCTCGAACTCGAGTTCGATGTTGACCAAGCTCGAGTCGAGTTTTGACTCAAAGCTGATCACGAACAGCTCGATTTGTTTGCAGGCCTAAACTATAGCACAATATATGTAGACACTAGAATAAGTCGAACTCGAGCTCGATGTTAACAGAACTCGAGTTGAGTTTTGGCTCAAACTGCTCGCGAGCGGATCAATTTGTTTGCAGGCCTAAACTATAGCACAATATATGTAGACACTAGAATAATAAAAGTAGGCACTAATACACCAAATTTCAACGAATTTTAAAAGTAGGCACATGTAAAAACACAACAAATTTTAAGACACAAATTTCAACAAAGAGAAAACTTATTGTGTTTTTACTTATTGTTGTGTTAGTATCTATATTTATTATTGCAATAATGTCTACATTTGCTCTGCGAAGGACTGCACCGTACTGTGCAGCTGTTACCAGTAATTGTAGAGGCCCTTGATCCGGGTAACTAGTGTTCCCTATCCACAAGCAAAAGTCCATACGGACAAATTTGTCGAGTTTGGCTCGGAAATTAGACTTGAACAAATGACTTGGCAAGTTGAATTTTATTCATTTTTGTGTTGATTAGTGCACAAAATACTCTCTTATCAAAAGCACACAAATAATTTAAAGAGGCATCAAATAGGAAGTACAAAACTATGCACACTTGGTATTAACAAGGCACCAATGGGTAAGCACAAAGTACAACTACTAACCATGATGTATAGCAGAGAGGAAAGTATGATGGTGCGGTAACGACCCAGAAACGAGTCGGCGACAAATGCACCCAAAAGCGGCAAGAGCTGCGACGTACCGGACAAAGCATTGGCGTTCTCGGCCGCCGTGGCAGTGGATTGGCCGAGAGGGCCTGTCAAGTAACTTATCAAATTCGAATTTATTCCGCAATAAGCAAACCTCTCCGCCATCTCTACACCTGCAGTGCAGGAAAATTATAGTAAAATCAGAAGAAAAAAAAAAAATGGGCCGGGATATATGTTGTTTGACTAGTTTTCCATCTTTATACAGATGGTTATTTTACCTATGATGAAAGATGCGGATTTCCAGCGGCCGGATTTGGAGCGGTTGACGGGGCGGCCTTTGTAGTCGACGTTTCCTTGGACGACGTCGTCCAGTAATGTTGGAGCTTCAATGGCATCGGAAATGTTGGCGGCTGTGGCTGTAGAGGACGCCATTGTCTGTCTGGTACAGCTATGCTGAGCTCACTTGACCTTGGCCTTTATTGTTTGGTCAGTGGGATCATATAAAAAACTTGTACGAGCTATGATATTGCGCAAGTAATATACTCCACCACGAAAATGACTTTTTTGGATTTTGTTTTTTAATGTTTTCAAACCCAAACAGATGGGTGAACTTGTTGGATGAGCTTCGCGATTCAATTGATTCAACCATCAAAGTTTTTTTTAAAAAAAAAAAAAAATTATTGTGGGATTGAATAATTTGGATAATATTGAGATATGAAAAAAGAAGAGAAAAAAAAAGTGAAAATCAGTTTAATAGTTAGATTTTTATTGATTTAATATGTTCTTGATCAGATTTTATCGATTCTTTTGGTTTTTTCAAATTGCATATAGAATTGGACCAGCGTCATGTTTGAGTCACAGTTTAACCGATTGAACCTACCAATTCGCTCTGAATATTTAAATGATAATTTTTTTTTCAAGCAACACCGTTACCTTGTTTAAGCATGATACTTGCCTCTATGAACGGGTTAAGCTTAAATGAAGTTAATAAGTATAGGAAAATTGTTTGCAGAGATCTACTTACAATAAGTGGAGACGTTACAATATTCTATTCTTTCAGGGATGTACCAAGATCAATCTCTCAAGCCAAATAGCCTCTAATTGGACCTATCTGTCATTAGCATTCACCAACCAAACATGTGACTTGCATGTCTGGGGGTTTAATCATCCATAGATTTCTTTATTATAGAATAAGCTGGCAGCATATTAGTTTGGATATCTTTATCATACAATTGGAATCACTCCTACAAATAATTCGTTTTGAGCCAATTGAGGTATACAAGGTTGCCCAGGACTTTCCCATGAGGGCTCTCTATTTGGGACGACCTTTTGCACATGCAAGTTTTCCTCTCCTATGTAAGAGTTGTATATGTGTGTGTCTATATATATATACATATACATATACATATATATATATATATATTAAAATTTATAAAATAATCTAATATTCTATGTCATTGTAATCGATACAAACTTTTTTAGGAAAAGGAAACAAATGAAAGATTGAATGTACATGTAGATAAAACTTTGAAAATAAGTAATTTTAGTTGATAATAGTTCTTTTTTGAATTTATAATATTGCATTCAAAATCTTGAATGTTAATTTTACCATTTAAAAATAAAAATTAGATGGTATTTATGCTATTTTTGAATTCTATATATTTTCAAAATATTTTTATTTTAGTTCTTCATTTTACATTTAGAAAAAAAATGTTCAAAATACTTTTGTTTTAGTTCTTCATTGCATGTTCAAAATATATTTGTACGCCCTATACTCATAAGGTGTGCCTCTTCCACTAATAAGAAATATGTATGTCAATTGGTCGACTTTTACAATATACTTTGGTGGGAATTTATTTTAATTTGTCAAATCTAAATCCAAACCCTATAAGAGAGAGTCTAGGTAAGATTTGATTTTCTATAATTTAGACCTGAATTTAGATCCAAATCAGACTCTATTCAGATCCATGTATAAATAATATGTGTATGTGTATATATATTAGTAAATTCATAAAATAATCTAATATTCGATATCATTGTAATTGATACAAACCTTTTTAGGAAAAGGAAAAAAATTAAAAGCAAATAAATGAAAGATTGAATGTAGATATATATAGATGAAACTTTGAGAATAAATAGTTTTAGTTTATAATAGTTCTTTTTTTGAGTCTATAATATTGCATTCAACATCTTGAATGTTAATTTTACTATTTGAAAATAAAATTTAAATGGCATTTATGTTATTTTTAACTCTATATATTTTCAAAATATTTTTATTTTAGTTCTTACTATATGTTCAGAAAAATATTCACAGATACCAATTGGATACTCAAGAATATAAGGGTCCGAGTTTTAATTTACTTTTTCAAACCCACAAGGATCTGGGTATAGATCAGGATCTAGATCTGAGTTTGGCTAAATTTAAAAGTCTAAATTTCGATCAAAGAAATCCAATTCAAACCTTATCCATTGACATACTTTATAAGCAGTGTTTTCAAACTCAAATCGAACTGATCGGTTCAACCGATCGAACCGAGAATTGGTAAGGCTTCCAGTCCAAAAGTATATGAAAAACCGGCTATCCATAGATTCGATCAAAAATGAGGTTTAACCGGTAAAAACTGAAAAAATTGGTTCTTAAAAATCCTTTATCTTGTGTTTCTCCCAAAAAAAAAAAAGGAAGCTTTTCTTCTCTCCAAAATTTCAAGCCATTCAACATCTGGTAGGGAAGAGGCCAAGGTGGTGAAGTTGCTATCATTTTCAAATCTGAGCACCTAAACAATGCTTAAAAAGAAAAATAGAAGGAGAAGACGAAGAAAAAGGGCACATCCAGTGACATGGATCCAAACTAAATTAATAAAAAGAGCACATTCAGCGACATGGCACAGCAAGGCATGCCGAATCTGTACTTGATCTCATCTCATATTGAGTCAGCTAGTTGTTTTGACTTTTGCCTCCATGACTGTAGGTTGAGGCAATGGACGCTTGTGTTGTTGATGACTCTGGATCATGCCCTTTGCTCAACTGCAATGTTTTAAAACTCGAACCGTTAAATGAACCGATGAAGTAAAAGGGTCGAGGTTCAACCGATCGGACCGGTTCAACCCCGGTTCAATAAATAAATAAATAAATAAATTATATATATATACACACATACACACATATACCTATGCACAGAAAATAATCATAGTCTTGTAATAATTGCCAAAACTAAAATATACACCTAGTGTTAATAATGGTTGACATTTTCTTTCTTCTCAAACTTCTACCTAAAATCCAAGACCAGAAATTCCCTTCATGTTGAATCATAAGTAAATTACAGGTAAATACCAAGAACTATTAGCAAAATTCAAGGTAGACATAATACCCAAAGAAACAAGAACAAAAACAAACAGCCAGGTAGACAGCAGCTTAGTACATGGAGGCCTAATGGCTAATTAAGAATTATGTAAATTGCTCAATCATAGGTAAGTCAGTTATTTCTTTGTCCATGCATGTTAAAACTAGGTGAGATGCGGTGGCATGTGGAGGATTATGCTATTGCATCATTCTGCTTTTGCATCCAAGTGGAAATATTCTTAATGAAACAAATGATTGCGAAAGGTCAAACATAGCCAACTAGCATCTGCTTGGTTCTTTCTTGAAGAGTGCCTTTCATAGTTTCAGTTAAAGAATCAATCATATGAGATTGGCAGCTCTTAGTTCTGTTCTTTCTTATTCCAAATTCTTTTACTGCCTCATTCAATTGAATCCCTCTGCAATCTCCTAATGGACCAAAATAACGAAAATGCTACTACCAATTTTTAGACAACAAAGAGAGAAACACTGCAACAGCCAACGAGCTCATCACTGCAACGTGCAACAAAGCCAACTAACGAGCCTTCAAGCCAGCAATAAGATAAAAAAAAAACCCACTGATTCACCTTTGCTACAATCTTCAAGCCAGACAACAAAGCCAATTAACGAGTAAAAAAAAAATTGCAGGACAAACTGATCAGCTTATCTAATTTGAGGACAAACCCAAAAAAATACCTTTTCTAATTTGAGGACAAACCAGATCTTTTGTGAAATCAAACTAAATAAGAGGGTGGTGGTGAAGCCGTGAAGGTGAAACCAGATCTTACCTGAAAATGAGCTACGAGGATCAAACTCATCAAAACCATCATCTTGCTTCTGATCAGCAACTGAAGGTGGTGGTGAAGCCGTGAAGGTGAAGCAGGGGCAGGCTATGGAGGAAGATTGTTGGCTGAAAAACAAAAGGGCGAAGCGGCGGCGAAGCAAAGGAAGAAGAGTAGAAGACCGAATGAAGATTGAAAAGTGAACTAAAGAATAGGTTTAGATAATTTCGGTCAAAATTCAATCAATTTTGCTCAAAATTAAAAAACCGCGGTTCACGGTTCGATTCAGGTTTAACGGTTTGAACGGTTTTTTACGGGTTTGACCGGTTCTTGAACCAAGTCAACACAAGTAACGAACCGGACCGGACACATGGCCGGGTCACGGTCGAACGGGCCGGACCGGCCGGTCCGGTCCGAGTTTGAAAACATTGCTCAACTGACAGAGTATGACGGCTTGTAGAAGTCCACAACTTGAGGAATTAGAGATGAACGCTCAAAGTTTCATAGTACTTCACTTTTACCCCCAAATGTTTTGGATAGTCATAATTTTTGCCATAACATTCTCTATTATTTGTTTGCAACCTTAATTCGGTATCTAATTTCAAGTAAGTTATAAGGATTTAGTTTGTACGGTTTTATTATTTGTATTATTTGTAAACTCACCAAGTATATCAAGTCTCGAGATATTTATTTTGTACTATTTTATTTTTATATATCATTAAATATATTTATGGCATCATTATGATTTATGATATCAGAAACATAATTTTCAATCCATCTTTTTATATTTCGAATCAATTTTTTTATCTCACGTATATCACATCACAAAAAAATATTAATATAATACTCCCTTCGTTCCATTAAAAGTGCCGTACTTTCCATTTTAAGATGTCTTAAAATATTTGTTATGTTGAAAAAGTCAAAACATATTTTAGTCTCTCTTTCTAATAGAGTTTTTCTTTCTAATCATATGCAGATTACTATTCAATTTGAATTTTGAATTTGTAGAGATAAAATTAAAAAGAAAAATATAAATATTACAATCAAATCACTATTTTTAAAAAGTTAAATTTTATAAATATGACTAATTAATTGAAACGAAGAGAATAGTAAATATTTCAAATAATATTCTACCCAACCACTCGCGTAGCAAATAAGTAATAACCATAATCACCAAAAAAAAAAACTTGCGGATGTACTTTTAATTGACCAGAAACAAAAGCACGAAATGCAGAGAAGAGAGGAGGGGGTTGACTAAAAAGAGCGAAGTTGGGCCCTAAGATGATGAATAATGAATTAATGATGGGGGCTGGAGCTTCTTCCGCGGCGGCTGCCGCCGCCCCTGCTGCTGCTGCTGCTGCTATTTACTACAGCGAAGACATTAGGTATTCGTTCAACACCCTTAAGCCATTGAATCTCTTCAGCAAAAACAGCAAACAGGTGCTTTTTCTTTTTGCCCTTAATTGCTTTAGGAAATTAGTTTTTAACTGAAATCTCTTTAGCAAATTAGATCGTCTTGTTCCAGATCATCTTGAGCTAATGTCAGATCACTAATTAATTCGACTTTCCATTTGGTGTGATAACATTATTATTAAATACTGGAGAAGGCTGTTGAAACCACCCCAGATGATGATGATGATGATAACAGTGATGGTGATGACAGTCAAGTTAATAGAATCAGTGCCATTCCGGACGAACTTCTTTCCCACATCTTATCATTTCTACCAACAAGAGAATCAGCGGTTACCTCACTTTTGTCCACTCGATGGAGATACCTTTTTGCTTCACGCCCTGAGATCGATCTCGAATTCCATCCTGAACCTGAACGTAGCCATTCTGACGCTGATATCGATCTCGGATTCCATCCTGAACGTAACCGTAACCAAGCTGATAAGCTGTTTTCTGAGTTCGTAAATTTTGGCAATAGACTAATTTTGCTACGAAACAGGGCTCCATTAAGGAAATTTAAGCTCTCCCTTATGAGGGTTGTGGAAAGCTATCGTGGGGCACTCGATTCACTGATATCTGCTGCACTTTTGTGTCAACTTCAAGAACTCGAAATTTCTGTGGACAACCGGAGTAGTTATAGGGAACGATTATCACCGGAGGGAATATTCACCTGCAAAACACTGACTTCCTTGAGACTAGTGTGGCGCGGTGTGGATTTCAAAGTCCCCAGTCCAGTTTGTTTGCCTAATCTTAAGCTCTTGTGCTTGATAGGACCGATGTTTCAATTAGGAGATCATGATGATTCCCTGCAGAGGCTTATCCAGGGTTGTCCTTTGCTTCAAGAACTAGAGCTGCACTGTGCACTGGGGGATTTGGATCAAATTTTTGCCGAAGGTGCATGTATGCAAATTGAAATTCGTGATATGTCTAGTCCTTTTCTGAAGAAAGTAGTGCTGGATTTAGATGGAGGTCTGGATGCTAAGGTTGTAGTGGAGTAGAACAATCTTGAGAGTTTGGAATACCATTTCGTAGGTGCGGAGTATAAGATGAGCATAAATGCTCCAAATCTTAAATACCTTGGTTGTGGAGGCGATATAAATGGAGTAAACTTTATTCAAGACCTGAATTCTCTTGTTAGTGCCAAAATTGGCTCCCTCCTTGAAATCCCTAATTCTGAGATTTTTTACAATCTTGTCAACCAGGTGAAAAGTGTGGAATCACTTACTGACGGTATGATTTTTGTTTTGAACTTTCATGTTTCTCTCCGACTTTGAAAGCTTTTCCTTCCTTTTGAGTTGTCTTAGAGTAATTGGACGATCATACTTCCAAGTTCGTATGTGAGTTTTTGATTATTTTTCTCATGCACATGAAGGTCGGTATTTCCAGTTATGTGGTGCCAACTTTCAGCAATTTGATCAGCTTGGAGTTCATTCTCCTCAATTGCCATGCTGTTGAATCCTGGAAACTCATGCCAATCTTAATTAAAAGTGCCCCTCACCTCGAAAAGCTAGTCTTCGGTCGAAAGATGTTTCACTCTGAGCGTGTAGAAAAAGAATTTGAGCTTCTATTTCCAGAATTCATGCCCAAACACTCCATTGAACATCTCAAGGAAATAGAATTCACAAAATTTTACGAGAAGCACTATGAATTCAAGCTAGTTGAGTATCTTCTGCAAAATGGAAAAGCTTTGAAGAAGATGGTGCTACGTGGATCTTAGCAACCTTCTAGCTATGATAGAATAATGTCATACATGAGATGCTCAGAGGATTGTCAAATTGTGGTAGAAGAACGTGGTTCAGAGGAAATCTGGTGGATGCTAACAGTTGACTTATAAATGATATCTGTTTCAGTCATGCAGCGAAGTCGCGGGAAAATGAAGTAACAAAATCATCTGCTATGTACATTTGCTTTTTGATCTATGCATAAAGGATCAGAATTCCCTGTTGTTCATGTCTTTTGTTGCTTGAATTGATTTGTGCTTTTTACGAGGGAGGAGTGGATTTGGGATGGGAAATTGCAGGAGTGGAGGTGTTCCGGCTGATGCTTTTCATGTAAAAGTTAGATATGCATGTATATTATGATGATGTAGAAGTTATTAGGTAAGTTAAGGGAGGGGCTTCTACACCTCTCAATTTTTAATTCACACCTTGTTGGAGTTCCAATATGGTACAAATCACAAATGCATCATCAGAGGTGTGGATTTATGACGGAGGAATATGGATTTAATCCCTTCGATTAAGTAATTCGTGAAATAGCTCTTTTGACAATTATATATGTTAGGCATAATCACAATTTTCAACTTGATGCCAGAGCAACAACAAAGCAACAAGATTGAAAGTTTTCAAGAAACAAAAAAAACTGTCCATCGCACACAATATCTTGAAATATACTAATAAACTACCAGAAGACCACTGCTTTCTAAAGATCTAATGCTACAACAAGGGAACAAGAGTGAATCGTACAATGAAGGAAAACAGATATGAAACTGCTAATCTTGCTAATTGACTAAAATGAGTATCAAAATTGTATGGAAAACATTTCGATGATGGAAAGCAGTACGAGTAAAAACCGTGCCATTCAGGGAAGTATCAGGTTTAATAGACCATTATACCTAGACAATATACAGAAACATGCCGCTACTAATATTGCAGCATGAACCAGTTTCAACCAGTGAATGTACATACAATACCCATATATTGATGCCTGAGTTCGTACTTACCGCTGTTTATTGGATGAAAAAGCACAGCTGAGAATAGACCTAAGAGATTAGCACGCTGCAACACAGATTACCAGCAATGTCTTGGACAAACCTACATACTGTAACAGCCTTTTAATTTCTATATATGCACCCATCTAGCAAACTAGGTGTGGTTTAGGCAACTTCAGATACTACTTCCTCGATTATAAGCATAGGACTTTGCAAAATATACATAAGCAGCTAATGCAATAGCGCTAAGTCCGGCAAGCAGCCAGTAGAAGTAATCCAGGTGTGCCTTGTTCAAGTTGTCTGAGAACCAGCTCTCGTGTCCATGCCTGCTTGTGGCTTTCTCAATAACAGAGATGAGAAAGCTGCTTAGAAAACTTCCTATCCCTAAGATACTGAGGTATAGAGCGAGACCTGTGCTTTTCAATTGATTCGGCATTTGATCGTAGAAAAGTTCTTGCAAACCAACCATAGCAAGTGCTTCAGAAACTCCATAAATCAAATACTGAGGTATCAACCAGACCACACTCATGGGAATCGTAGCCTTTGGCTTATCAACCAAACCGTACTCTTGAGCAGTTTCAAGACGCTTCATCTCAACTAGAGCAGCTATGACCATTGAAAGATTTGAGATAAATAGCCCTGCTCCAATCCGTTGGAGCATAGTTATACCTGAAGGTTTTGTGGTTATAGCTCTTGCAGTAGGAACCAAAATACGATCATATATAGGGATAAACACAATTATCGAAAGAGTGATAAATGATCGTAGTGAAGCGGCTGGTACTTCAAAGCTTGGACTGATAGATCTGTCCATTGTAACTCCTTGCTTGATAAACAAAGTGGATGACTGTGAAAATACAATTCCATATGTCAAACATGTTGCCCATATCGGAAATAGCCTGAGAATTGCCTTTGCATCCTCAACCTCGCTGATGCTACAAATATTCCTATCTTCCTCTGAACCATCAGGTACTAGCAATGCTTTGTTCAGAAACCTATGTCGATTGCAATAAACAAAAAAAAACTAAAACATTTAAAGGAAGAAAATTTGGTTTGAGATTTTTTATCATAAAGATCAAGGATACAGTTCAAGAAGTCAGTGAAGCATGATCTAGCAACATTATCCCATTCAAACAAGTTCATTAATTTGTAAAGTGGAAACAACTTTACACATTTTTCTATTTGCCAATCTTTTGAAAACACAAGAGATTAGCAACCAGATCGCAGGGGAGAGGTGGAAGGGAGGGGATGAGAGAGGAAGAAAGGAGGGAGGGGAGGAAGGGGAAGAAGGAGGAGGGGGGAGGGTGGTGGCAGCGGTGAAGGAGGGAGGGGTCGTGGCGGCAACGGATGGTGATGGATGAGGTGGTGAGTGGTTGTGATAAAAAAATTTTTAATAAAATTTTTAAAAATATTCCAATTAAATTTTAAATTTTAAAAACACCCCAAATACATTTACAGTGTCAAGTTTTTATATACATCGTTACAGAAAAAGTTTTTAACAATACTCCCCAAAAACACCAAACTCGTACGGCCAAGGACATAAAATTAAAGTCTTAGTTACTAAAAGCTTAGAACAGGTTGGTTTCTCACTTGAATTCTTGAGGACCTTGGTAAGGCACAGAGCCCTGAGACTCCAGTTGCATGGATAATGTTGAAGAGGTGGCTCTCCAATTTCTAGCTGCATTCACAAATACTCGACCAATTCTCATAAAAGGGCTCTTCTCCTCACTATTGACGCTAAACCGGTAGGTGACAGTTCCGAGCAAGAACAAGATAAGTCCAAAACCCATTACAAGGCAGGGAATCGCAAATCCAAGGCTCCAACTTAAATTATCTTGAATGTAGGTTAAAATCACTAATGCGACCAAAATAGCCGAACACATACCAAAATACCACCAGTTGAAAAACGAGCTTTTGGCTTTGCATTCTTCTGGATCTTGTCCATCAAATTGGTCGGCTCCAAAAGCTTGTACACAAGGCTTATGCCCTCCTTGGGCCACAGCTATTAGATACAATGAAAAGAAGCAGAAAATGATTGGGAATTCAGAAGGTGAACATGTCACAGCATTTTCTGCATGTTGACACCCAGATGAGTTGAAAGAGGGAAGAACTGTTGAAAGGGTCAAGAAGCCAAGTCCCTGTGATTCACAGCAATGCATGGCTTAAGAAATTGTTATCAAAAGAAAGTAAGGCCTTGTTTGGACAGCAATTTTTCAATACGTTTCCGTGAACACATTTTTCAATCATCTCTTTATCTCACATATATCAAATTGCTACAGTAATTTTTCTACAAAAAATTCAGAAAAATGAAATCCAAACAAGGCCTAAGTTTTTGTTTGAGTAATGGCCATTTCTCTTGATTAAGTCAAATATTTGAAACGGTAGCATGAAGTTCACTTCATAATTTTTCTGTTCTTCTGTTAGTTCTCCTTTCAATTTTTATCTTTTTTATCTTGAGATTTGAAGAATCATCCTCTTACATCAGAATTAAGCTCGTTTATTAATTCTACCACTAATATGGAATTATGTGGCTATATTTAACCCCTGGACTTATTCTTATTCATAGTTGAAACATCAGCTAGGCTGAAAGATCTAGAGCATTATAACATCAAAACAAAATCAGAAGTTAAGGATCGTCAAAGAGGCTAAAACCATCGAATAGTTTCCGGTAGGAAAAATCTATTTATCCGAACTCTTCACTTTGTCTTGTCGTACTCGTGTTCTACTCTTCATTTTGCACTAGAATAATAGCATCGATAGCACTCCCATAGATGAGTGCGAGAAATAAAGGAGGAAATATGTTCACTTCTCCGAAAATGCTACAAATGGCTCCAATTGTTTAGCTTCTTTTGTTAGCTATTCTGTTTATGTTCATAATTGTTCAACAGATTACGCTTCTTTTTTCCCTTTTTTGAGCAAAAATTAACCTTTTATAAAATAGAGCAAGAAAGCTTACACATTGCAGCAATGAGCAGCCTTTTCATCCTACTATCACCTATACCTATATATACAAAGAACTACAAAAATCTACAAAACACCTATGTACTCGTGAGCAAAATACTTGTGTGTAATCCCCCAATCCTTGATCAAGCTCCAATTTACTCTTGACCTCGGAATTCCGCGCCAAGTAGCACCAACATATCTCACTTCAGTAACTATACTCCTTATAATACGTAATACGGAGTAATGTAGGCTTGCTGGAACATCACCTTATTTAGTTATTTCTACTATAAGCATGGTAGTCAACAAGCTTATGCTTGACTACATTCACCTCCCCTTCTTGGATGTGCTTACTATTATCTAATTCAAACCCTCTCCCTCATCTACCTCCTCTCCTCTCCACACACACACACACACACAACCCCCCCCCCCAAAAAAAAGAAAGAAAATACATCTGAGTTTTTAAAGAAATAGATGTCATAAAACCAAGCTTGAACCCCTCCAGTCCATTTGGCCCACATACCCATCAAACTAATGGTAAAAAAAAAAAAAAAATAGCCGTAGTGATGCCAAAAGACTTATTTTAACTCTAGCTTTGTCCTTCTCACAGTGAGTGAAATGACTCAAAGTGATAATTTTTTTTAAAAAAATTCCCAAAGGATGAGCTGTCTTTTTTGTTTTTTACACAATCGATGTTGATTTCTGCATACATTTATTTTTTAAACAATCCAATCACTAAATAAATTGTTTAAAAATTGTAATCACTGAAATATATTTTTTTCAACTCTAATTATTTGAGAATTCTTTTAAATTTTGGAAATTTCTTATCCTCAAAGTGACCCCAGACAGTGGCAGAGCGAGGACCTAAAATCAAGGGAAACAACAGTCTATTATTGGGAAATGTAGGGGTTGGATTGAGAACCATCTATATTAGTGATAGTTGAAGTTGCCCAAGGTTCAAAACAACTATCTTGGTGATATGAGTAACTACAAAATGCAAAAATGTCTAATTCTTTTATATAATATGTAATGTATTATATTATTAATTGATAGTCAGCATAAAGTGACTAATCTTAAGAAATCTAGTGTGGCCAATAAAATTTGTCAAACTAACCAAAGTTAGCTAGTGAATTCACTTATATATGTTTCCTTGAAAAGCAAAAATTAGAATTAGCATTTTCACTTATTTTATTGGCTAGTTGAATAACTAATATTAGTGTTTTACGAAATCATATGCATAATTTGTGAGTATTAAATTGCAGTGTACGTATTTAATATCCAAAAATAAGCTACATAATTACAAATCATCCAAGAGTGAGTTGATAAATCAATCAAATAAAAGAGTAGTAGTACAAGATAAATCAAATTTAGTAAAGAAAGAAATATTCTAAGTTTATTTTTCTTTATTCTTCTTTTCTCATAATTAGCTGTTTTCACTCTTAAACACATTCAACTAATTGGCTATCCCTTCCGTATTAGTCTCAATCTAATATGGCATTAGATGACGTTTTAAGCATGTATTATCTTCTTTCTTATTTTTTTCGATTTTGCTTCAATTGTTTCTCATTATACATTATGGATTTTGGTTAATTTAAAGTTTAGCGAGTACCCCTAATTATTTAATTTGAGGGGATGCAATACGTAAGTTTTGTCGTTTGAGGGGCACAAACTATTAAACTATAATTAAAGTAAGATACAATTAGTAATAATTTTAAACTACAAAAGAGGATTTTAAATATTTGCGGAGAACAATTGTCCACCGTAAAATGTTTATAGCTCGACGATTATAATTGGGAAAACTTTGCTGTGGCACGATATGACAGGTGCTGTCATGTTGTGGCAACATATCAATTGACACGACGTACAGCATAGTAAATCCGAGCATCTTTTCAAGCTCATTAAGAGTTAAAAAATCGCTTCCCAAATAAGAGTAAAGTAAAGAAGGCGCCTTCCAAAGATAGAGCACAAAGTATAACTATAGAGTTACTGTTAAACAGCAGTAGAAAGTTCAAGTTCAACTAACCATGATATACAGCAATGAAGAGATTATGACGGTCCAATATCGACCCAGAAACGACTCGGCGACGAATGCACCCAAGAGCGGCAGAAGCAACGCTGTACCGGACCAAGCATTCACGTTCTCCGCTGCCGTAGCAGTGGACTGGCCGAGTGGCCCGGTCAAGTAACTGATCAAATTCGAACTTATTCCGTGATGAGCAAACCTCTCTGCCATCTCCATACCTGCATTAAAAACAAATAATTAACCTGCAGTATTTCATTTTATCATAGTACGGTGAGGATGTTAATACTTTATGATGGTTACTTCACCTATGACGAAAGCTGCGGATTTCCAGCGGCCGGATTTGGACCGGTTGGCAGGGCGGCCTTTGTAGTCAACATTTCCTTCGACAACGACAATGTTGTTTAGCAACGTCGGAGTATCGATGGCGTCGGAAAGGTTGGCCTCCGGGGCTGTAGAGATTGCCATGCCTGGAGTGGAGTAACTGTGCCGAACTCACTGGACTTTGGCTTCAGTTTCTACGTTAACGCTATAATTGTTGGCTCGGACTGGGTATATTATTGAGTAGGTTAAGATACTCCTGCACGTTAACGAACAACGGTCAAATCTATCGGTATTTTGGTGGCAGTGGCACTAATTGTTCGTTGGACTAATAACAGGAGATTGTTGTTTTTTTTTCCTTGTCAAAATAATAATAGGAGATTCCACCGATCCTTTGGTGTTATATAGTAAGGTTAAATTCATCGTTGAATGATGAAATAAGTGTTTACACCCTTGAACAAATATTTAAAATGTAAACTGCTATCATCATCGTTGAGGGAATGGTTTCTCTAAAGAAATTATAGAATTTTCTTAATTTTTTTTATACTAGTGATGGATCACGTACTTCGGACGTGAACATAATGCTTTTAGATTTTTTTAAAAAAATTTTAAAAATCAATTGTTTTAAAATAATAAATGTAATTGAGACAAAAAAATGTGATATTTAATAGTTATATTATTTTTTTTCTAAACTTGGTTTGCCATAACCAACATAATTGCAGAAGCAATAAAAGCATTCTTTATCCCAAAAACACTTTTATTTTGTAATAGTATCAATATTTTTAATCTTTTATTTTTAACCCTCCTACATTTAAAAATTATATATAATCCTCTCATGGTTTGGGTTAATGTATTACCATTAGTTTTTTTGTTAAAATTAATGGTCAGTAGTAAAAAATCAAAATCAAAATAATAAATTGACAAATTTATCCTTTCATTACTTCTTTTTTCCTCCAAATATAAAAAAAAAAAAAGAAATTGAAAAAAATAGATAACTAAGAACTAGAAAATACCATTAAAATTTTGGTTTAAAAACCTATAGTAATATTTGTAGTCAAAAAAATTTTCTATTTTTATTTATTTATTTTATATTTCCCTTCCATCTTTTTTGTTTCTTATTTATTTTTTTATTTCCTCTCCATCTTTTTGGCATTTGGAGAAAATTAAGATTTATAGGCCATAGTATAGATTTTCAAAATCATCTCTTTTCTTCTAATAACAACAGAGAAAGGAAGGGAAAGAAGGAAAAGGAAAAAAGAAAGAAAGTAGTACAAGAGTGAATTTGTCAATTTATTAGTTTGATTTTGACTTTTTACTATTAATCGCTAGTTTTAACGGAAAAACTAATGATGATATTTGACCTAAGGGAGTTATCTAAGATTTTTAATTCATAGGAAGATTATGTAGTAAAGCACCAAATCACAGGGATAAAAGATAATTTATCCAAAAGTAAATAACTAACTTGTTTGGCATTTTATTGTACTATGGTTAGGATTTCAATCTTTTATGATGGTCACTTCACCTGTAATGAAAGAAGCGGATTTCCAACGGCCAGATTTGGATCGGTTAACAGGGAGGCCTTTGTAGTCAACATTTGCTTGGGCGACGTCGTCTGGTAATGCTGGAGCTTCGATCGCATCGGAAAGGTTGCCCTCTGTGGCTGTGGGGGCCCATATGTGAAGTAGAGCAACCGTGCTGAGCTAGCTAAGATCACTTGACTTGGGAACTTGGGTTTAGTTTCAAACGCGCAAGCTATTATTGTTGAAGGTTGAAAATATTTAGGGATAATTTGAGAAACCTCCCTTGAGGTTTCTAGCAGTCTCACTCCCTTCCCTTAAGATTTCAAAAATATGAGAGACCTTCCCTAATAGAATATTGGGTCTCAATTCTTACATCATCATGAGTGAAATGACTCAAATACCCACATAACTTAGCAAATATTTTGCAATTATTTGGACAAATTTACTTAAGTTAATTATAAATATGATTAATGTAATTGACGACAATTTAGAAGTGCAATATGGACCTATTCTTCCCTTTGCATTGCTAAATGTCTTCCTTCTCTTTGGTTACTCACCTCTTCCTCTTCAGAACCTTCATACTATTCAAAGAATCTATAATTTGTGTAGCAAAAGTACCGCTTGTGAAGATTCCATTCACTCTAAAAAATTTTAATTCTCGCTTGGCGATTACATCAACAATATCTGTTTCTAATTGTAAATGATGTAGGTGAATTCCAAAATTCACCTCTATTGCTTGAACTGGCTATTTATGTGTGTTTGTTGCTACTACAATTGCTTACTTCATTTGCTGCTATTACTTTTAACTCATCCAACACCAAGCACTTTAATTGCATAGAGGCTGATACACAGAGTCCTATCTTGCTGCTTCATTTTGCTTTTATAAATAGTTTGCCAAAATGGCCATTGCACGTAGATGTTAAAAATGACAAGCAGAAACAACCGTTGGTTTCCAGGTGTCAAACTGAAGTTCAGACCTTCCTTGAGCCATTAGTTCCACTTACAATCCTGAACTTTCATTCTTGTTAAATTGTCTAAGTACTGTTAATACTGGTCATATGAAATTATCTCACTAATGTAAGACTTGAGGGCATTTGTGGTATCAGGCTGTGTTCTCTCTCCATACCTCAATTTTTTATTGTTTCTCTTTTTGAATTGGGTTGGATTTGATACTACCTATTCACTTTTAGGGGAAGTCTTTGATATTTTGAAAACCTTAGGGGAGGACAGTGAGATTGTTAGAAACCTTAAGGGAAGTTTTTGAAATTTTTCCAAATATTTATTGAGTAGGTAAGATACTCCGACACGGTAACGAGCAACGCAAAAATTTAGGGTAAAATACCAAAAAAAAAAAAACTCTTTGTGGGTTGTTGAATGTTTAATTTAACTATTTCTGATTTGGAAACCTACACTATAGCTCATTGTGGTTTCGACTAAATTGAAAATTGGACGGAAGACATCCAATTTGATGATTTGTGCATGAAATGTCAATATTGCCCTTACAATACGTGAAATGCTTTCCGTTTAATTTTCAATTTAGTCAAAACTGCCAGGAGCTATAGTGTAATTTTTCAAATCATAAGGAATTAAATTGAACATTCGGCAAATCACAGTGAGTTCATTTAGATAGGGGCAATATTGAAATTTCATATACAACCATTAGATTGAATGCTTTTTGTCTAATTTTCAATTTAGTTGAAACCACAGAAAGTTATAGTGTAGGTTTTTAAACCAAAGAGAGTTAAATTGAACAGTTGACAAATTACAGGGAGTATTTTGGTGGCAGTATTGCATTTCTAGTTTGGAAAAGAAAGTTCTACCATCGCCTTTGTGTATAACATGAGATTCTATAGTCTCTTACAAGTATTATACAGTGTTTTATCCCCTTAAATTTTAATAATTTCAAGGGGAGGAATGGATTGGGTGGTTTGAGAGGAGAGAGTCTAAATGAGAGATCTTGAATTCGAACCTTACAATTTATACTAAAAAAATTAATAATTTCAAATATTTAAAATATAAACTACAATCATCATTGAAGGAAGAGTTTTTCTAGACGAATTGGATATGAAATTTTCCTAATCTTTTTTATATTAACATTATATACACCATCATGATCAGGATGTGTGCATGATATTTTTTAATTTAAACTTAAAACTCAAAATTTGAATATCTATCATATATTTAAACTCAGTAGTGTATGCCGTTCAATTAATTGTTGTAGTTTTCTACTACTAATCCATAAAGACCGGGCTGCTTTCCGGTTTATATTCTCTCGAGTTCCCACAGTGTAGTCTTTGATGTCAAGCACGTGGCTTACATGTTTTTCAATGGCTGCTTATTCTGTTGACCATCACTCATGATAGGATAATGGGAGCATCACGGAAGTTACAGACAATTTCTAGCCACTCATTCTAGGCCCTATTTGGAACTGAGTTTTTTACCTAAGTTTTTTAGCTATTAGTTTTTTAATAACTTTTGCTACAAGAACCCCAAAAAAATTTTCAAAATTTTTTACCTACACACTCCCAAAAATCTAATACACAAAAAATTTTTCAAAAACTTTTCTTCTTTTTTCTCCCTCACCCACCACGCCAGCCACCACCTCCACCACCTCTCCCGGCGCCAATCATCTCAAATTTTTTTTTCTGTCCCTCACCCTCACCCCCTCTCCTCCCCCGCCACCCTCCCCCTCCTGCTAGGTGCGATCTAGTCTCGCGACCAGATCGCAAAAGGAGAGGGGGAGGGTGGCGGAGGAGGGAGATGAGAAGAGGGGAGGGGTGGCGGGCCTAAGAAAAAAAGCTAAAAAAAATTAATGGTCCATGGCCGGCCTTCCTCTGTTGTCGGAGTGCGAGGGGGAGGGGAGAGGGAGAGGGGAGGAAAGGGGTGGCGGTGGAGGGAGAGGGAGGGGTGGCGGGTAGAGAGGGTTAGCGGGGGAGAGGGGAAGAAAGGGATGGTGGGCAGAGGGGGTGGCGGGGGAGGGAGAGAGAGGGGTAGCGGGCCTAGGGGGATGGCGGGCAGAGGAGAGAGGAAAGGGATGGTGGAAAAGTTTGGGGGTGGCGAGGCAGAGGTAACGGGGAAGGGGGAGGGGGAAGGAAGAAAAAGAAGAAGAAGAAGAGAGGAAAGAAGAGAAAAAGGAAAGAAAAAGAGAAAAAGAAAAGGGAAAAAATGTTTTTCACCTTACAAAAACTTCTATAAATTTTTTCACATCACAAAAACTTCTACAAAAAAGTTTTTCACCTTACAAAAACTTCTACAAAATTTTTTCAAAAACTTCTACAGTGCACTACAGTAAAGTTTTAGACAAATTCCTAAAAAACTTAGGTTCCAAACGGACCCCTAATTTGGGTGCCCGGACTACTAGCTTGTCCGGAAACAATCGTCTTATTTCACATTGTCTTCTCTTTGCCCTTTTCTTTTACATTTTACATGTTCCCAACTCTATAATTCTTTGCCCTGCCCATCTCTACTCTGCTCCAATTCCATTCTCCTTAATTAAGAGAAACTAGGAGTCAGGCAACAAAAAGGAGCAGATAGGTAGAATCTAGTGGAGGAAAAAAAATATTCTAGGTCTTTGAATAATTAAGTATAATTAACCAACGACTCTTATCCAACTACTCTTATCCAACT